ATGCATTTTCCATTGAACTGAATGATGTATTATGGCGACAGTGATCAATAGACTCACACGGTTTTCTTCAAAGACACACTGAACAATGAAAGGCCACTGTTTTCCAAACGATATGCCATTAATCATGCCAGACTTGTTAGAAATGGCTTTCACTTCCACTGATATTCATCTTTACGTGATAGGTTTAGTGAGACTTAATTCACCACAGGCGGGAAATTAAGCCATATATTACTCACTATACGTCACTGTGAAGTTTCTTTTTTATTTTTCATTATATATATATATATATATATATATATATATACACCACCGTTGAATACTAATGGGTATGTCCCAATCCTCATAAATACGTTGGACACTATTGTAAGTAGGGAGAATATGCTAAGTATGCCACCATTAGCAGTGGTTTACCTACTTCACGCCGCTGGCGAGTATTGTATTTTGCTGATATTATAAAGATTACCATATCATTTTCCGTTTTGGTTATTCCTCAGTCAGTAACTTTTTCTAGGTTACAACAATATATATATATATATATATATAGGCAACATATCTTCATTCAAGAATGTTTGGTTGAAAAATCTATATATTTTCTTATCGATTTCTTAATGTCTTTAAGATTTCGATGAGAGAATTTGAGAGGATCGCAAGAAAATAAATCGGTATATGTCCAGATTATTCAACCTAACATGCTTGAATTATATATATATATATATATATATATATATATATATATATATATACCAAACATGTTTGCTTAAATAATATGGACAAGTTCTGTCTACCAATTTTTTTTATTTTTCACAAGTTCGAAAAAATAAATGAAAAATTAAATAATAAAACTTATAGACAGTGTGTCACAATTTAGGGTTGCTAGAAAGAAAGAAAAAAAAGAAAAAGCGAGAATTAAATTTAGGTGATAAGAATCCATCACAAAAAGGATACTAAGCGATGTTATCTTCTTTTTAACAAAGAAAAAGTGCTAAAGGTTTTTATTCTCATTAGCGATGAGAATAGGGTCGCGGATGTGTCGGATATAATTTAATTTATGATGGCGCACCAAATGGTGAAAATTTCAAATGACCTACAGGGCAGAATTCTAAGGAGATAAAAATTAATTGGGTCGCAGAAAATGTCCATTGGACCACACAGAGTTACAAAAACAAAAGATTAAACCATTAGTTATCTACGGAAAGGTCGTTTGGAAAAGGCATCTGTTTATTGTCGGGGCTGGTTATGATAGCGAAACTATTTTATCGGAACAGTTAATTAGTTAATTAATTAGCAACAGAATGCAAATACGTCTAATTGACCACCCCCTTGTTTGGTGAAGGCCATGGGTGATAAAGTCCAAGTAACATTTGGCTAAGATAAGAGTCCAAGGGTTTGTTGTCGGGCAGAAGGAAAGAAAGAGAAAGAAAAGGAAAAGAAAAAAAAAAGAAAAAAGGAAGATATTTTTTTTCTTTGAGCAAGATTGTTTTAAACCGAGGCTAGTCTGGCCACACCCACGCTGCTGAGCGCTCATTGGCTGAATGGTAGTGAAGAGGATTGTAGGTTTGGAATTATCAAGGAACCTCAAACCCCGACAAGCCCACCCCGGTCTTGGTCGGCGTCCATATAAGCAGAGTTGCAGCGAGTGAAAAGCAGTTCAGTACCAGTTGGAGATGGCAATTGGCAGAGACAGTTACAGAGTTAATAGCTTCGCAGGAAGCTGACTGAAAGATATCCACGCAATCACGACCTCAACTTCTAGCCAAGAACAATTTATTTTTGAAGGACGACTTAGACTTACACCACAAAAACAAGTTTTACGAATATCACCTGAAGATACACCAAGAACCAGTTTCTTAAACAACAAACAACTTAAGATGTTAAGACTCGCATAAAAAAAACAAAGTGTCACGAATTCATATAGCGGGTTGGGAAGAAGACGCAGTCCTGTATTCAGCAACCATATATAAAATATTGTTATCCTTTTTTAACACATTTGAACTTTTCGAGTTATTATTTTATTTTCTTTTACATATACTTGTGCGATATCACCCTTGTTCGAACTCGTCTTGCATTACGGCCCGGCGACTGATTGATTTCGTCTGCCTAAGATCAAATCACAACGTGGGTAGGTTAGACTGGAAATCAAAGCAGTTACTTCGGTAACCAGACGTTGGAGGCGAGCTGGGAACGACGAGGCTGATACCGAATCTAATCAGATTCCCATCCGAATCACCAAAAGGTTAGAACGTCACATTTGGTGCCGCGACCAATACCAAGTCACATTGGTTACAGGACAGGATAGCACGACGGACGCAGCCAGGCAGACGTCATATTTGGCGCAGTAACACCGGGGGACGTCACAACAGAACTTGTCCGTATTATTTCACCAAACACGTTTGAGAGAATTATTGCTGCCCAAATACATATTTATATATATATATATATATATATATATATATATATGTTAAAAAAATATATATATAGAGAGAGAGAGAGAGACAGAGAGAGATACAGCTAAGGAGAGGGAATAATATGATATATAAATTTCTATATATCAAAGCGATGTTAGATAGTTGAAAATTCTATGTGAATTTTATCGAACTAAAGTGATATTTTATTGATGAAATTATATATATTTAGAAATTGTCGGAGCTCTAAACGTAAATTTCGTTTATAATTATTCACAGAGAGGAAACACTGAAGAAGTAGAAATAGGACATTTAAACGATTAAATTTGAACTTCTTGAAATATTTATTTTTCGAATTTGAAAACGTTCGACGTGTCCAAACACACAACTCAGTCGATCTCATTCGGTTTACCAATGCTTTTGTTTTACATTTTGCCGTAATTTCTGTTATTTATTAAATTATATTACCCTGGATGCAAATTTACACCGAAGTATTCATAAATCATAGCACTTCCTATACATTTTCGCTTTAATCAATTGCTTTCTCTTTTAATTAAAACCATCATTTTTTTAATAGAATTTATGATCAGACTCATTACGATGAAAGACACATTGGGTGCTTGGTTTTGTAAAATACCTCTTCTAGTTAATTTAAATTAATTTTGAAACAGAGCAAAGTATTATACGTACTGGAAATATGAAATTTCATCTATTATCTTGAAATTAAAGCTAAAATAAAATCTTCAAGAAAGATTATTTTTCATTTTTAAAAATTCATTTTAAACATCTGCTATCACGAATCTGTGGAGGTTCCGACTTCTATGGGTTGTAAATACCAGCCCTACGACCAACCAGTTTTGAATTCTTAGTTCCTCTTTGTAAATTGGTTGTCAGCAGCAGTTTACTCTTCTATTTAAGTCATAACTGTGGCATACAAGTTTAATCATATATATATATATATATATATATATATATATATATATATATATATATATACAAACAAATATAGATAACTATACTCGTTTCGAAAAACCCTTGAATTTTTGATTTGCCACTAATTAAATCAATCTTGAGGGGAAAAAAGGTTTTAAAAAAAGAAAGAGCTACAAACATGAAAGTCTGTCGAAAAAAATCGCACAGATACAGGTTTGAAGCCCAAAGAAAAAAAACCGATACGAGTAAATAACTAACAAAAGAGCTCAATACAAACGGAGAGCAGACCTTCCCTGACGATCCGTTTAGGTGAAACCTAGGTAGGTTTGTTTGGCTCACTAGGTATATATATATATATATATATATATATATATATATATATATATATATATAAAAATTGAACATTGAACACAACACTAAATAAATATATATATATATATATATATATATATATATATATACTTTAAAAACATAATATATATATATATATATATATATATATATATATATATATATATATGAAAATGACCATTGAACACAACACTGTGAGGCGACAGGCTGTTTCATGCTAGATGCAATAGTCAGGCGGCCTGACGATTGCGTCTAACATTAAACAGCCTGTCGCATCTGAGTGTTGACTTCAATGTTCACTTTTTATTTATATTTACATACGCTCTGTCTCTAATATTGAGCACTTTATCCCATAAATATAGCACGCCTTAAAACTACATTTCTTCATATATATATATATATATGTTTTACCAATTTGTGACTAGAACGGATAATTCCGAGGAGGATATAAATCCAGGGAGAGCTCAATGTAGACTACAGAGCATTGTAATGATAATAAGAAGACGGAGACTTGAATTATCGATTTCGTTTATAAATTTTATTTCTTGAACACCGAGATGTTCAACTCATCAGAACGAAATCTCCTCCGTCAATCACGAAATAAACGGTTACTATCATATATATATATATATATATATATATATATATATATATATATATATATATATATATATATATATATATATATATATATATATATATATATATATATATATATATATATATATATATTAAAGACATTTTATGTTTAACATTCTTTTTATAGATATTCGAATTTACTGCTTATAAACTTCAACCTTGCCAACCGAACGATCCTTTGTGGCCGAATGGTTAGGCACGCCAAGCTAAATGACGCTTGTATAGGATGCAGGTTCGAATCCTGTCAAAGGACGAATATTTTCTATGAAAATTTCTCGGACATTCAGGCCGGTAAATGTTATTTAATACTGTTTATCATAAACTGAGCATTTACCTAAATACTTGTATCTATAAAAAGAATGTTAAACATAAAAATGTCTTTAATAAATTGTCGGACTTTGTCCATTTCTTAATATATATATATATAAGTAAAAAAAAGTTTGAAGTCACCCCACTGGAATTTGAAAAATCGCTTAAAAATTTAATTCAGGTTCTTTTCACTTTAATTGTTAATTATCCAACATTGTGTTATAAGAACCTGGACACAAAGTTACCGGATTATCTAGTGATCAATGCACTTTCTATATATTTTCGTCTAAGTAAATACTTTCTCTTTTAATTACAGAAGCAATTTTTTTAAATCGAAATTATGGTCAAACTAATTACAGCGATTGATTAAACATAGAGTGAGGGAATGCGAGATAGATAGATAGATAGAGAGAGAGAGAGAAGAGGGAGAGAGAGAGTTAACTGAAAATAGCCTTCCAAAATATGTTCTTTTATATGTATTGATACCAATTTAATACAGCCGACTCTAGCCCTAATCTTCTTCACTTCGTGAAAAATATCTAATTAGATTTTTGAAATGTCAGCCATGCTTCTTTCTTTAATCAACTGATTAACCATCTGGGCACGTCTTTATATTGATTCATTTCAAACCATCCCGTAATATAAGTCCTTTGCGAAAAAAATCTCATTACGAGAAACATCATAGTGACTATTCAGTCTGTCATTTAAAAGAAGAATAATGTATAATAATAATAATAATTATTATTAATATTATTATTATTATTATTAAAGCCGTCACTCCTACATTATCTTATTCGTGAGACAGCAGAAGAGACTACAACATGGCAAAAATAGATTAACTCTACGCCAAGTGTTGTTTTCGTTCGCGTTTTCCTTAGAACGTCCTCGTTTCTCCCATTCCTTCCTACGTGAAATCCTCAACATCCTTCTGTAGAACCATATCTAAGTTGCTTCAACTCCCGTCTTCGCCTGCGATGAAATTGTTTAGCATCCACGGTCATATAAAAGGATTGATATTGCATAAGATTTTGGCCCTCTTAAACTTTGAATCTAACACCATTTTTCCTGTTGTCTCGCTTCTAGAAGGCATCTTTCGCTATTCCAATGACCGGCTTCTTCGTTAATGACCATGTATTCCGTCTACTTATAGTCTTGTCTTCTCACTTTCGTTAACTATCTTGTTTGGAAATATCCGAAGTGTTCTTTCTTAACCCCGAAAGAGATCTTTTAGAAAACACTACACGCAAAGTATGAGTTGCTCTCAGTAATGCATCTGACCATAATTTCGTTTTAAAATGTTAAATTAAATAAAGAAGAAAGCGGTTTACTAAGATGAAGTTGATAGATTAAATGAAAGTGCTTTAATCGCTAGATCATCTCCACTAAAATCCAGGTTCATCCAGGTTCTTTGACCTTTCCTTCAGTCAGTTATGTGCCATGCGTGATACACGCTTAGGTGATCATGTATCTTTCGATACATGACCGACGAGGCAGATTTTTTTCCCTCAGTAGGTTGCCATTTCTTTATTTGCGGTAGACCTTTCTTTCTGCCATCCAAGAACCCGGTCTGTCCTGCTATTTACCCATAGCCGGTGGAGGAGAAGAGGATCCATACCTTTCCCAAGGGTTAGTGAATGTAATAGATTCGATTGGAACTCGAACTCGGCTCTCCGACTCCACAATCCGATTACTCCACCGTGACTCCCTCTAAGTCATTTATGTGCCATACGTGATACACGCTTAGGCGATCATGACTGACGAGGCAGATTTTTTTTCATCAGTAGGTTACCATTTCTTTCTGTCCAAGACCAGTTGCCATCGAAAGACCCTGCTATTTACCCATTGGGGGAGAAGAAGAAGATTCCTACCCAAAGGTATTAGCACGTAAGTGAATGTAATGGATTCGGCTGGAATTCGAACTCGATTCCTTAATCCGAACCGCTATCCATTACTCCACCGTGACTCACAGACCTTCGATTATCACGATCTAGGATACTTAAAAACAAAAGTGATAAGAATATAAATGAAAACAAAAGAAACTAAATGGAATTCGCTAGAATATATACGCAGACACATATGTAAAAAAAATAATGTAAAATTCTGCATTTCCCGCATCGACGGAGACATTAATTTAGTCCGATGAAGTCTTAAAGGACGAAACATGTCACACGATTTTTTCCCCGTTTTTCAGTAATTTTCCTATAGTGAAATGTAAAAGAACGGAGAATTCTATTTTAAAAACAAACACTAAAATACCAAATTTTAAATTTTAAATCTTTAGTGTAAACTTTACTACGGAAGGTAGCAAAGGAAACGAGAAGAAAGGACTAACTATATACAAGAAGACAGAATGCATGGTCATCAGTAAAAGGATGAGCCCGAAATGCGATTTACAGGTCGGGAGACACTAAAATCAAGCAGGTGCGGAAGTTTAAATATCTGGGAAGTGTTTTGACAGAGGACGGTAAGTGCGACACTGAGACGTATTGGAATGGCCAAAGACGTATTTCAAAAGCTGGGCAGAGTATTACAAGACAGGAGGATCTCTTTGGTAACAAAAAAAAGAGTAATGAGCAGTGATATTACGTGATATCTGTTCTACTTTCCGGCAGCGAATGTTGCACGGTCTCCTCAAAGATAAAGAAGAGACTCGCGGCGACGGAGATGTAGTTCTACAGAAGGATGTTGAGGATACCATGGACCGAGTGTGTGAGCAACGATAAGGTCTTAGAGAGGATGCAAGCAAGAAGGAGGCTTATACTTAAAATCAGGAAGAGGCAGCTGAAGTTTCTGGGACATGTAATGAGGAAGGATGGCTTGGAGAATCTGATACTCACAGGTTGAATTTAGGGAAAGAGAGACAAGGAAAAGCAACCCATGACATATCTGGCGGGCTTGAGCAAGTGGTTTACAGAACGTGGTCTGGGGGAGATGGCAGAAGGAGGAAACTTATTAAGAGCTACAAGAGATAGGGCGAAGTGGAGAGCTATGATCGCCTACGTCCTGAAAGGACACGTCACATATAAAGAAAGACATTGGATATTTTATGTCATCATTTTTTAGATGTGAAAATATCATTATTATTATTATTCGCTTTTTGAACCAATATGCTTATCTTGGTTATTAGGCTACCAACGTTTCATATTTTCTACTGCCTAGAATTCTTCAGGTGTCTGTTTTCGGGATCTGTAACCTTTCTTTTGAGCAATTTCGAAATTCACCCTTTATTCAATATAAAAGGGGAGATCCCTATTTCTTTTTTTTAGTTAAGAGATATTTGGTCTCAGTAAATATTCGCCAGTTTTGTTCATTTTGTGTTACTTGTCCTTTTCTTCCAGTGAATCAGAGTCTGTTATTTTTCGGTGCTAACCAGTCCCGGAACTGAATTTGAAACTGGCATCAAAGCAGGTAATTTGTAACCGTCGCTATACTCTACTAGATTTTATAGGAGATCATTTTTTTCCACACCACGGGCGATTTTCAACGGACGCAAACCTATAGGTAATCCCATTGCAAACGTTCAGATGAACTGCATTCTTTAGTTCAACTAGTCCAGATCTTTCCAGCTACGAATCGCCATGCTACGTCCACGGAAACGAATCACCCACATTTCCCCCGTATTCCATTTGTAATGAAGATGTTCCATTCAATCAGCTGTTTTTTCTCTCCCAAGAACTGCTACTTTCGGGAACAAAGTGCTGTGTGAACGTTTCAGGAAAGCGTCCCCCAGAAGCATTCCCACGGGAATCTGTTCCACAAATGAATGAGATGTGTAATATAAACGTAAGGGAAAGAAGAAAGTGAAGATTATGAAGATAAAAAGAATGTATAACGATTGAAATTTAAGCAACCTCTTCAAGTCAAGGTTCAATCGTTACGTAACCTCAATTTGCTTATAATGTTCACTTCCTCCTATCTCTTATTGTGTTTATAAAGGGTGTTCCAATAACTTTGCCCGATTTTAAATGTGAATTAAGTTCAAGCGCCTAATGATTTTTTTTTCTTTTTCTTTCAGATTTAACAACTTTCGTCTTTGACAATTTCAACCATGGAAAGATTAACAATCAAACAACGTGTTAAAGTTATCGAAGCTTATTACGAAAATGGACGTTCAAACAGAATTTGAACGAGTTCCCAGTTCGCATCATCTCTCGAAACAGCGAGGTCAATTGGCTACCATGATCCTGCGACTTGACGCCTTTAGATGTCTTCCTTTGGGGTCATCTCAAAAGTAAGCTCTATGCCAACAAGCCAACAACAATTCAACAGCTGAAGGATGAGATAATAAGGCATATTGGTGAGATCGAGGAGCAACTATGCAGAGACGTCATCAAAAATTTTAACCATTAAGTGGAGGTGCGCTGCCGAAGCCTTGGCGGACATTTGGGCGATATTATTTTCACACATAATTGCGATGACTTAAATAACATGATCCAATAGGGAAATAAAATAAATTTTCACCAATAACACTGAGTTATTTCCTGCTGACGGTGATCGTCTTAATAAAACACCCTTTATCACCCAACACATTCAATAAGCCTCTGGTACTAGGTTCCCTGTATTGGGTGAACCCTAATATTATAAAAATGTGTTTAAAGCTACAAAATACCACCACCGGAGGGACATGAGACCTAGTGTATTAAAGCTTTGATAAAATCATATTTGATTCCCTTGTAGTCGTTAGTTCAGTTCCGGTGTTTCTAAGTGAAAGCCAAATTGACTGCGTTTGAACCTTATTGCGAAATAAAAGGTATTAAAAGGTAAAGAAGAGGTTAAAGAAATGAAGGAAAGGGGAAAGTGCAAAGTAGGAGAAGAAGAATGAAATTGGGAATAGCAGTAAAAAGAAAAAGAAGAAAGAAAGACATGAAAGAAACAAAAGAAGCGAAAGAAAGAACGGAAAAACGAACGAAATATTGAACGGAAAAAGCGAACGAAAGAAAGAAAGAAAGAAAGAAAGAAAGAAAGAAAAGAAAGAAAGAAAGAAAGAAAGAACAAACGAGAGAAATATCGGGAAAACGAACGATAGAAGAAAGAGAAAAAGCGAACGAATGAACGAAAGCAAAGAAAGAAAGAAAGAAAGAAAGAAAGAAAGAAAGAAAGAAAGAAAGAAAGAAAGAAAGAACTAGGGAAATGACGGGAAGAAAGAGAAAAAGCGAACGAATGAACGAAAGAAAGAAAGAAAAAAAAAGAAAGAAAGAAAGAAAGAAAGAAAAGAACAAACGAGAAATCGGGAAAACGAACGAAAGAAAGAGAAAAGAAAGAAAGCAAAAAGAAAGAAAGAAAAAAGAAAGAAAGAAAAAGAAAAAAGGGAAAACGAACGAAAATTGAACGGAAAAAAAGAAAGAAAGGAAAACGAACGAAAGAAAGAAAGAAAAAGAAAGAAAGAAAGAAAGAAAGAAAGAAAGAAAGAAAGAAAGAAAAACATGAAAAAACAAACGAAATAAGGAACTGGAAAAACGAAAAAAATAAAAGAAAGAAAGAAAGAACAGAACAGAAGAATAAACAAGAGAAACAAAAATCAAACGAGAAACAAAAAAAAATCAACGAACAATATGTTAAGAGCAAGAAAGAAAACAAGGATGGATGAATGAAAAAGAAAAGGAAGAAAGAAAGAGAAATTTAAAGACAAAATTGAAAGAAAAGATAGAAACGAATGAAATGGAAGAGGATGAGGAAAATAATTAAAATGTTAAAGAAATGGAAAAGGAATTAATTATGCAAATCAACAGAAAGAAAGAAAGAAAGAAAGAAAGAAAGAAAGAAAGAAAGAAAAAGAAACAGCTCAAAATTAATGTTGGAGGTGCGACAATGTTAAGTTTAAACGCTGAAAGATAAATTAGAAAGAGAAAAGATATTAGAAGAAAAAGAAAAGAAAAAAAGCCGAAGGGGGGGGGAATATGAAATGAAATGAAGCTTAACGAAATTAATAATTAACCTTAGCTAATGAATAGAAACTTCCTGTCTCCTCGAACCAATTGTTTGTTGAATTCAGTTTAATTTCTCCATAAGCAAGTTTCACTGACAAAAAAATGTTAATTAAATGATTTGTTTCAATCGGATTTGCTTGAATTAACAACAACTGAAATAGCGACTAGTTTGCCAAAAAGCTAAACAAATTATTAAGAAACTCGAATATTTCTTGAGAAATATAGAAAAAAGTTCTAAACTGCTATGTAATATCAATTCACCTATATGACAGTGAGAACTGGGCACTTTTTTCACAGTTGAAGGAAAAACCGGAAACAGTAGAGATCTGATGCTAGAGAAGGATTCTGGGACAACTATTGATAGGGCATCTAAATGGCGAGGAAGTCTTAAGGAAAATGGAAATAAAAAAAGATAAGTATACTTCTTTTTCATTTATGTGCCGTGTCCCTTCAGAACGTGGGTGATAATGGCTCTCCATTTCTTCCTTTCTATTGTAACTCTCAATAGGTTTTGCCTTTTGGTTATTTATCCCAGACCCTGTTTTGTCATGCACTTGCTTAAGCCCGTTAAGTATGCCACGCGTTGCTTTTTCTTGGTCCTCTTTCCCTCTATCTGCCCTGTGAGTATCAGGTTTTCCAAGCCCTCCTTTCTCATTACGTGTCCCAGAAATTTCAGCTGCCTCTGTCTGAGAGTAAGTATAAATTTCTCTTTGTTTGCATCCTCTCCAAAACCTCATCGTTGTTCACATATTCGGTTCATGTTATCCTTAGCATCCTTCTGTAGAACCATACCTCTGTTGCCTCGAATCTCTTCTTCATCTTTGAGGAGACCGTCCAACATTCGCTGTCGTAAAGGAGCACATATATCACGTAGCAGTTCAGTATTCTTTTCTTTGTTACCAACGAAACCCTCCTGTCTTGTAATACTTTGCCTAGCTTTTGGAATGTGTCGTTGGCCATCATAATACGTCTTTGGAGTCGTATTTTCCGTCCTCTGTCAGAACACTTCCCAGTTATGTAAATTTCCGCACCTGGCTGGCTTTGGGGTACCCGACCTGTAAACCTTATTTCGGGCTCATCTTTTTAAATTTCTAGAACGCGTAATGAGGAAAGAAAGCATGGAAAATTTGACACTCACAGGACATATCGAAGAAAATAGGGAAATATCAGTGAATGGCAAAACAGGGAGAGGTATAGATAGTATAAAAACATTCGTAAAATCTTCAAAAAACAGGGAGTTATAGAGTGCCATGATCACCCACATTCTCTGCTTATAAAAGCCAAACCAGTGAAAATCAATGCAAGTAGCAAGAAATTGAAATAATCAAGAGAGACCTGAATATCAAAGTCCTCCTATATGACAGTGAGTGCTGTGTAATGTTCTCACAGATAAAGAAGGATTCTGAGACAACTATTGACAGGGCATCTAATTGGCGAGGAAGTCTTAAGGCAAATGGAAATAAAAAAAGCAGAAAAAAATGCTAGGAATACCTTAGACTGAACATGTGAGCAACAAGGAAGTTTTATAGAAAATGTAAACAAAAAGGACATTTATCATACTTATTATAAAACCCAGGTGTGTGTGTGTGTGTGTGTGTGTGTGTGTGTGTGTGTGTGTGTGTGTGTGCGTCTGTTCGTTTATATATTGGATCGGATTTCCTACATTTTTCAACTGATTTCAACAAAACTTCACAGGACTACGTAAAATTCCCTTGCGACAGTTCAGACAGCGCTAAAAATTGAAAAACACAATTGTTTTTGCACGAAATCAATTTGAAAACACGATTAAGAGGCATCGCTGTCGCGAGAATGAAAGGGGGACAACTCATATCGAGTTGTACTTATTATAAAAACCCAGGTTGTGTGTGTGTGTGTGTGTGTGTGTGTGTGTGTGTGTGTGTGTGTGTGTGTGTGTGTTCGTTTATATATTGGATCGGATTTCCTACATTTTTCAACCGATTTCAACAAAACTTCACTTTTTTTTTTGGCTGGTAGTGTTTCTTATTGTCTTTCACACTTTTTTCTTTATTTTTACATTCGGAATGCTTTAAAAATTCCATTTAAAAGACAATTGTTTATAATAAAATTCTATTCAATCGGTAGACTCATAACGATTGAAAACACTGTTTTTATTTGAGTTTGGATTTGACCAATTCGTAAAAAAATAAAATAAAATAAAGCTAATTAAGACATTGCGTGTCCGTCAACCTTAGACAATAATCTTTTTCGATTTTATTTTTCAGTCTTTATGATGGTCAATACTTGGTCTATCTCATACTGTTACATCCCCGGGCAACACCCGGCTCTAATGCTAGTACTTAATATCAGAAAGAGATAGTTGAAACTTAGAGGTCACATAATGAGAAAAGAGGGCTTGGAAAAAAAGACACCGACATAAATAAGCTAGAATGCAAGAGGAACCGCGTAAAACAGCGCATGACCTCCTATCTAACGAGCGTCTGCAAATGGATGGTAGAGCAGTGTTTAGGACAGATACAAATACAAAATTAGCTAAGAGCTATAAAAAACAGGAAATTGTGGAGAGTTGTGATTGCCAAATTTCTTTAAGGGACACTGCACATAGAAAATGTGTACATCATTGGTTAATCATAAAGCCATGTTGCTCTACAGGATAATGCAAGACCACGTATTGCGCAAGTAACTCGGAAAAAATTATGTCGCTAAATATTGACTTTTCGCCTCATCCTCCTTATTCTCCTAACCTTGCTCCATCTGATTATCATCTCCGATCATTGCAAAACATTTAAGTGGAAAATCTTTTTATTATTTGTGAAGCGCTTAAAAAATAATTGGGAAGAGCTTAAATAATGTGTTTTACTTTGCATCGAAACATGAAGAGTTTTGCACCCCAGAAATCAACAACTGGTCAAAAAAAAAAATGCATTATGTTATCGATAATCTGAAGAAATATTATGTTGAGTAAATATATCAGTTGAAAGCAAAAGACTATTTTTGTTTCTTTTCTATCTTTAAAGGTGACAAGAATCTACTTCCAAAATGATACTACAAAATCTTAATTTGAACGGAAATGACGTTTGGGTAATCCGTAAAGTCTACTGGCAACAAACAGAATCGATATTGATAAAGATTTAGTTCAAAGAAAAAATCACAGCAGTATAAAGAGGCGTAAGACGGCGAGACATTTTCTTACCAGATTTATTTAAACTTTACAATGAGAAAATCCTAACAGAAGTAGAAAACCAACTAGACATTTTATTATAAAGTAACACAAGATTAGTAAGACTGAACGAACTATTAGAAAATTAGTAACGGAAAGCAAGAAAAAAAGACTAACTATTCATTGTAAAAAGACAGAATTTATGATTGACAGTAAAAGAGACATCCCAAGAGGAGTACAGTAACAGACAGCATGAGAAGTGAGAGAAATCCGTTTACCAAGTATGATCTGAAAACATATAAGTGGATGACACTCTCACTCTCAGAAAGAAAACTCAAAGAACTATTAGAAAAATTAGTAAAGGAAAGCCAGAAGAAAGGGCTAATTGCTGTCAGAAAACAGAATTTATTAATGTCAGTAGAATAGACGGCCCAAGGATAGTGTATCAACAGACGGTATAAAAAAATGATACAGCAATCTGATGGCGTATAAAAATCGATAAAGTTGTCTTTCCGAAACTGAGCAGAGTATTTAGAGATATAAACAATTATTAGAAACAAATTTAAAAAGGGCTGAAGTGCTATGCCATAACTGTCTTCTTATATTGTAGTGATTGCTGGATCATCTCCTCACAGATTAACGAAGTTTTAAGGAAAATATGAAATAAAAGGATTATTTTTGCTTAGGAGCAGGAAGAATTGAAATTCTAGGAACAAGTAATGAGGAAAATGTATCTATCAAAAACGAGTATCCATAAAACATACAAGAAAATAAAGGAAAACCAGGAGTGAACTATTTAAAGAGTGTGTATAAACCGAGGTAGAAGAAAGTCAAAGAGAGGTGGTAAATGGTCAAAAGCTGCGACTAACGACCAATCATAATTAACCTGTTGTCATAATTGAATTAGTATTCAAGTTAGTATGCAGATATGATCTGCATTGATTATAGAACTGTTATATAGGAATAAAGTGTCGTTGCCGAGTTTGAACGAAGATCGCCAGAGAGTAAACACTGGCGATCCCATTATTGAAATAAGTGGATCACGTGACTATAGAGGTAACGCATCTATAGGAAGTCGCGTGACGTCTAAATGATCGCTATTTCTAGTCTATCCTCTATTACTATACGGACCGCTATTCTCTACACTATTCACTATACTATTTCTCTATTCGGATTACTATACGGATTACTGTTCGAGCGAGTAATATCGAGCAACTACTATTACTGCTATTGTTATTCGAAGGCGCCTGGCACCAGTATTGTTCAACGGTGTTACTATAGTTGTATCTGCGATTACAAAGTCTCTACTACAACGAGCATTACGAAAGTGTCAACGAGTATTCGTTGATATCACAAAATAACTAGTTCCTAATAGAAAGTAACTTTGAGCAAAGTGTGAGACCGACCATCAGAAAAAAAAAAGACAGCTTTGGAAATAAATTAATTTTTCCCCGAAGTTGGAACAGCAAATTAGCCGCCCCCAGTATGGCAATAGCAATCCGTTTTATTCAGTAAACCGGCAATAATTTTCATGAGAACAATTTCAGGTGTTCGCATGGACCGGACACCAACGTTTGTTGACACTTATTGCTGCATCAGCTGTTTTCAAGCATTTTCTAAACAATTTCTATTTGTCTGTTGCGCTTCTTTATTGTATCTTCTTGATGCTTAATCCCATCAACCGCTGCGATTTATACAGAAAATGCTTCTCATGGTGTGAAATGTAAACACCGTACGTTGTTTTGCCCATAACATTGA